AGATAGATAGATAGATAGATAGATAGATAGATAGATGTAAGTATTTGATGTACAGGTCAAAGGTCAAAATCCAGTTTGATAGAAAGATAGATAGAGATAGGCAAGGCAAGGCAAGGCAAGTTTATTTGTATAGCACATTTCATACACAATGGTAATTCAAAGTGCTTTACATAAAAGAAAAGAAAAAAAATAATCACAACAATAAAACAAGGAATTTAAAAACATTGAAAATGATTAAAACAATTGATTTAAGAAGTTTAAAATGAATTTAAGAAAACGATTATACATAGAATATAGTGCAATCAGTTCGGACATTGCACAGTGCTCATTCAGTAAATGCACAGCTAAACAGATGAGTTTTGAGTCTAGATTTGAATGTGGCTAATGTTTTAGCACATCTGATCTCTTCTGGAAGCTGATTCCAACTGCGGGCGGCATAATAACTAAAAGCAGACTCCCCTTGTTTTGTGTGAACCCTTGGTATTTCTAACTGACTTGATCCTAATGATCTGAGTGGTCTGTTAGGTTTATATTCAGTGAACATATCTGCTATGTATTTAGGTCCTAGGCCATTGAGTGATTTATAAACGAGTAAAAGTACTTTAAAATCAATCCTAAGTGTAACTGGAAGCCAGTGTAAGGACCTGAGGACTGGTGTGATATGCTGTTCTGGATGAGCTGCAGCTGTCTAATGGTCTTCTTGGGAAGGCCGGTGAGGAGACCATTACAATAGTCCACCCTGCTGGTGATAAAGGCATGAACAAGTTTCTCCAAGTCTTGACTGGAAACAAAACATCTCATTCTTGCAATGTTTTTGAGATGATAGTATGCTGATTTAGTTACTGCTTTGACATGACTACTGAAACTAAGGTCTGTCTCCAGAATCACACCAAGATTCCTGACTTGATTTTTAGTTGTTAGACCCCTAGAGTCAAGGTATGCATTCACCTTGAGAACTTCATCTTTGTTTCCAAATGCAATGACTTCAGTTTTTTCATTGTTTAACTGAAGAAAGTTCTCGAATTAAGCTAACTGAGACCTGTTATAGCACTTGTATATCATTGCTCTTTTGTTGATTTTGATTGCTTCCATTGTCCTCATTTGTAAGTCACTTTGGATAAAAGTGTCTGCTAAATGTCTAAATGATTATCAAAAGCCTTAATAACTGTCCCCAATGTCCTGTCCTAAAAGATGACACATGCCTTTGACATCATCACTGGGAGAAAACAGGAAATTAAAACACTGTCCCATAAGGCACCTCTCTCTTCATCCTGATGGTCATCTGTAACTCCACCAACCAACTATATTAGACACACTCACAGGCAGACAAAACAGAGGAGACTGATGACGCCTTGAGAGACTGAATTAAAAAACAATATCTCAAATAAAATCTACTGTGCACTCTATTTTACATTCAATGTGAGGTACACATTTGGGAAAAGTCTTAATATAAGACAGCAGGTGAAACAATGTTTAAAAAAAAACATTCCTTGACGATTACTTTAGGTCCGGTGAAGACTTTGTAATACTGTATGTCTGTATGTGTACAGTCTGAGAACTTAAGACCGTTTGAAGAGAAACAGAGCCGAGCAGCTTCTGCAGCAGGTGAAGTATGCCAAAAATATAGACCCGAATACTGAAAATAAAATCCCACATGATTGTTAAAGGAAATCCAGAATCTCATGGCAGGCTAAGACGTTACAAAACTAACTAACTTCACCTGCATTTTCCATTAAATTTGAATTAATTACTTTTTCCTGTTGAATTTTATCACTACCCATTAATTAACCCCCACTGACTTTCTATAAGACTGCTATTCAGACCCAAACATAATTTGCAGCCACAGAACTTCTCAGAAAGCTGTTTAGAGTTCTGCAAAAATGAATCACGATTCATCCACAAAGTGATAGTATAGTGATAGTCGGCAGAATACATACTGTATAGGTCCACTGAAAAAAAAAAAAACAGCATCCTTATAAATACATTAACTAAATGCTCATATTTTAAACAGATATAAACTGTACCTTGCTGCTTGGAAGCTCTGAACTATGTCATCTAATAATCTGTTGTTCCTCAGGTCTTGTTCTGTTGATGGCTGCAAGGAGAGTTAAACGAAGATTAATGGAAACATATCGGAATATCAGAATAATATGCTAATAAATTCATTAAACTGCAATAGCAGCAATGTTTATATGTAGCGGCCAGAAGTTAATAATAATTATGCTTCCCAAGGCAGCATTTATTTGATTAAAAATACAGTAAAAATAGTAATCTTGTCAAATATTATTACAAGTAAAAAAAAATGTTTTCTATTTGAATATATTTTGAAATGCAATTTAATCCTGTGATGGCAAAGCTGAATTTTCAGAAGCTATTGCTCCGATCTTCGGTGTCACATGATCTTTCAGAAATTATTCTAATATGCTGATATGTTAAAAATTAACAATGTTAACAATTATTAATGTTGAGAACAAAGTTCATTAAACAGCATTTACTTGAAATAGATTTTTTTGTATGAATATCTTTACTGTCACGTTTGATCAACTTAGTGCAAGCTTGCTGTATTATATTAAGACTATTAATTTTTTCCCATAAAAATATTAAGCAGCAAAAACTGATTCCACATTGATAAAAATGTTTCTTGAGCACAATCAGCATATTAAAATGTATTTCTGAAGGATCATGCGACACTGACGACTAGAGAAAAGCCTTTTGAAAATTCATCTTTGCCATCATACTTCACAATATTACTTAACTGATTTATTTTGCTCTCATGTGTGTGTGTGGAGAGAGAGAGAGAGAGAGAAAGAAAGAAAGAAAGAAAGAGATTTATCAACTTGACATCCAATGTAAAATCCCCATCCAGTGGAGGATTACTGGAATATCTGAAAGGTTTGACAGTCATATTAATATTATTTTGACGAGACTTACCAAATTACAAACAGGACACAACAACTTATAGTAGAGAAACTTCCGTATGCACAGAGAACAAACTGTTGGAATAGCACACAAAAAAAAGACAATGACTTTGTATCTTGCTTAAAGCAATTATGGCAAGTTAAACATCATACATGTCAAATGGTTATAAACTGAACTGTAAATCTATACGTACAGTTGTGAGAACACTGGGTCATCATGGTGATGTTGAGAAAATCAAAGCAGATAGGACAACGAAGGAGAGTGTCTATGCTCTGATACAGACAAAGATAAACAAGATCTGATGTCACCGAACCTGGGAATATCCAGATTTATGACTACTGTATATCTATAACACTGAGACACGTGCTTATCGATGTATAAAACCATGCAGTTCATTCTGATCAATATCAGGAAACCAGTGGATATAAAACAAGAACATGACATCGTGAATAGATTTGATGTGTTATATCAACAAACAACTGAAGTAACACTGTAAAAACGTAGATTTTTTTTATTGTTTTATGTGAGATGCGTTGGCGATTAAGATTATAAAACTATATTATACACGTGTGAGCGGCAAAAAACACAATGGTAGCGGTTAATCTTGTTTCAACTGCAGACTTAACAAAGTTGAATAAGAGAACGTACTTTGAGACATGACAGGTTCGGCGGTAAGTCCACTTCGTTTAGCTGAGCCATTCTATGCAAATCCCTGTGCTGCTATTTATTTACCGGTAAATGAAAGAGGAAAATTAATACGAACTCTAACTCTAGATAGCAACAATAAACTCCCGCGCATCGCTAAACACTTCCTACGATAGCGTCACTTCCGGTTGAAACACGAATCAACAGAATGACCAAAGAACTTATGACACACGCTTACAAAAAAATACCATGGAATGTAACCATTTCTGCCAAAATAGCAGAGTTGTGCTCTGTAAATAGAAAATAAATTAATACTGAAGCTTCAAAAAACTGTAAGAATCTTTTAGAGAATTTGACATATTTATTTATTTTATTTTTTATTGTGCTGAAAAGTATAAGATTAAAGTTACAAGAATATTATATTATTGAAACCATAAAGTTAATGATTATGGTATTTTGACAGAAACTTTGATTTCCATGATGATTTCCTAAGCAAAGCATACCGTACTTGCAAAAGTCAAATATAATAAAGATTAAAGTAATAAAGCGTAGAATCCTTAAAATAAAATATAATATGATATGTTTATGATTGGTTTTAAACTGTAACATTTAACAACAAATAATTCATATATTTTATATATACATAAATTTTTTCAAGTTAATCGTATTTGTTAAATTTTATTTAAATGGTTTTAGAGCTAAATATTGTCATAATTAAGGTAATTAATTTTAGATGTTGGATGTTGTTTAGTCATGCTGATTATGATCTTTTAATAACTGGATTTATTCCACAGAATAGTGGAGAATAAATTATGACTATAGCATTCTAATGTTATGGAATATTGGAAGCAGGGCCGTTTCTAGCCAATTTGACGCCCTAGGCGAAATCCCTATTGACCCTATTGATAATGTATATATATAATTCTTTTCAGACACCAGTTGCTTGTCACATTCAAATTGGTTGTCATAGTAACAACACTAATTTGTGGAGATTCCGTGCATTGAGTTCCACAAATCTGAATGCATTATTTGTAAATTGACTGTTACGATAAACATTTTGCACAATTTACAGTGGCGGCTCGTCGGGGGAGGCAGGGGATAATTTTAAGGTGAAAATGGGAGGAGGACGATTTAATGTTAATAAAATTCACAATTCATTTCAGTTAGAAAGGGCCCTGATTGGAAGGGGTCATTACAATTATAATTGAAGATTAATAATGGTATGTTTACTTATTAATACACTGCACTATTGTAAATGTTTTGCCATATGACAGTGAAAGTGATGCTCCACAGCACACAGAGTGTCACTAAACTGAATCAGTGATCATAGCCAGGTGTGAGAATGTATGAGACTGAATGAATAAGTCAGTTCCTTAGTCATGCACCTCAAGCACTCTGGAATAACACACATAGCTCTTCTGTCTTGTTTCTCTGAATGTCAAGGCTAAGTAAAATAAAAAGTATCTGTGAATACAAGCTGGGGTTATTAAAGTAAATCTGTTCTGTGTATGTTTGCTGAAAGGTTATAAGACATTAAATGTGATTGGGAACTTGTAGAGTAATAATATTGCAAAGAAAAGAAGTAAAGAAGTACAAAACATACAACAGAGTGATATTTAGACTTATAGGGCATGATCCCATTGTTCTATTAAACTGATCATTGTTCTTTACTTAATAACAAAAATAGCCCAAAATTAAGAAGTTTTCAGTATTGCAGTACTTTTTGCTAGACACTGAGTAAAATCCCACACATATGTGTCTGATTTCCTTAGCTTGACTTGGATAGCTAGCTTCATCTAATCTACAGTATACACACCTTAAGGACACACAAATATGGAAAATGAAAATACATGTTGACGCTACCTTGACGTTCAATTGCACTATTCAGGTGCTTATTTTACAACAATATGATTACAGCCGAGGCTGACTGACAAATGTAAGTATACACGTACACGTTCCAAATGACTTAAACGTGAAAGAGAATATTCTCTGACGTCTACTGGTGCCTCTCTTTGTGGGTAGTAGAGGTGCTGTGTGTACATTAATGAGGAAAAAAAATTAACTTAAATGAAAAATAGCCCAAAATTAAGAAGAACAAAGAGTGAAAAATTTAAGGGGGTCTGAATACTTTCCGTACCCACTGTATGTGTCTGATTTCCTTAGCTTGACTTGGATAGCTAGCTTCATCTAATCTACAGTATACACACCTTAAGGACACACAAATATGGAAAATGAAAATACATGTTGACGCTACCTTGACGTTCAATTGCACTATTCAGGTGCTTATTTTACAACAATATGATTACAGCCGAGGCTGACTGACAAATGTAAGTATACACGTACACGTTCCAAATGACTTAAACGTGAAAGAGAATATTCTCTGACGTCTACTGGTGCCTCTCTTTGTGGGTAGTAGAGCACGGGCAAAATGTAATGGATAGCAAAGTGTGACTGCAAGATACATGAAACCCCTTCAGAAAATAATAAGCCCATTTTGTCCTCAAGGTGGATATCATTAAATCATGGGTTTCTATAGGTTGTCAGAGCATGTCCACCATGATATACTTTAGATTTGGATGTGTGACATACATTGATGAGCACAACTGTAAAGATCTTTGCTTTCAGCCCTGTATATCTTGGCAGAGCTCCAATTGGACTATAAAATGTGTCAGACAATAATTCAATATTCACAATGGGCATTTGACAAATCTTTATTTATTTATCTGAATAAAAAAAAAACTTCTTTCAAGTGCAAGTAGCAGCACTTTATTGACAACCTAATTTAAACTAATTACAACCTAATTAGCTGCTATGAGCATGAAAAAAATAAATAAACATATTACACTGCATGTACTGAAAAAAAGTACTGGTAATTTTCTGCCAGGGTATTATCTATTATCCATCCAATGAAGTGCAAAATTCAAAATACAGGTAAAAACATTTTTAAAATCTATACAGAAAATTTCTTCATTTTAATACAGTTCATTGCCCCCTATTTTAACAGTGTTTATTTTTATTTATTTATTTATTTTTGGCATTTATTAAATGTATGGCTTTTATTTTATAAAATTATCTTACAAAAAAACACAGCATCATTAAAATTAATAGTATATAGAGAATATTGTTTGATTTCATTTATGAAGGCTTGCCAATACTTCCAAAAAAAAAACCATAATGAGATTTTTTCATCAGCAACAACAGGCAATCACTGCCTAAAAATGTAAGTAATAAAGCTCCACTTAAGATTCAGCCCCATTGTTTAACAGCTACAATGGGTGAGGTGTCTATATATAATAAATTACATAGAACTATCTAAAAACGATTACATAAAAACTGTAGAAGGGTACACATTTGATTGCTCAATTACACAACAAAAATCAATGTCAAGATTTGTCATGAAAATACCTAACAAAATGTCTTTGTGAGGTATCTCAATTAAAGCATTAGATCAGATCAGTCGTGCTGCCATTGAGACCAGGGAGCTGTCCTTGGAACTTTTAGATAAAGCTGGACACTGTTCAAAAACCACCATGCTTTTCTTGGAGCATTGTGAAGTCCATGTAATAAAATGGAAATTTATAACACAACCCAGCCTTTAGTCAGGCCGTCCCACCAAATTGGACAACTAAACAGGCAGGGCAATTGTAAGTGTGGTGACCAAAGGCCAGCAAAACACTTCTTGGTTGAAATGGCAAAAACTGTCCATCAACAATCGTTTCACTACACTTCATTTGCTTGGCCTCTTTGGGAAAGTGGCCGAAAGAAAGCCAATTTCGAGAAACGCCAGCATTAAGTCAGTACCGCAGTGATCTAGAAGCCATGTGAAGCATTTGAAAATGATGAAACTAAATTTGTGCTCTTTGGCCTGAATGCTAAGCACTGTGTTGACCAAGTAACACGTCCTCTATCATCAATCAAGAACGTCTGTGGCAGCATTACGCCTGTGCCTTAGGGTTGCTTTAAGAAACTGGAAAATTTGATGGAAATAAGGGGAATTTGGCTAGAGCCAAATCCTGATCCTTGAGGAGAATCTGTTTCAGTCAGCCAGAGATATCACTTAAAATCAGTTTTCCAGAAGGACAATGACCTTAAGCAAAAAGTAAATACTGTACTATGTTATATAATTGGCCTGCAAAAAAAAAGAAATGAAATATTCTGGAATGACAGGCTTCAGGCAGATTTCAGACTTCAATTCAGCTATAAAGATTTCTAAATTGCAGTTTGAAGAAACATGTAATTTGGTACAGTTAGAGATATATTAAACATTAACATATGAATGTAGTAACAGCAAAAAATCTTTTAAAATAAATCATATTCTGTCATATAAACTTAAATATTTTAATTTTATCATTTAAATTTGACAGGAAAAAATAAATGCAAGGAGGAAAACAGTTTGCAGCATATTTGTTTTCCCTTCTCAATGGTAAATAACACTTGATTTTTTTATTTGATGAACCATTTCTGCTACCATTAGACTTTGACAAATGCACCACGCAGTCGTTCTCTCACTACAGTTTTAAGCTCACTACAGGAGACAAAAACATGCTTGGTAATGCTGGTATCTTGGACAAAATAATGATTGGTACAATTACAGCAATGTAAGTGCTGATATTTATAGAACATGTTAATGCTTTTGACTGAGGTGACATTAATGTCCATCTGTAACGCTATATAAATGCAGATTGAGACTTTTAACTATGCTTCCTTAAGTTACATCTATAATTTATTGTCAATTTTGGTTGTTGAGCACCTGGAGGACCGCAAAACCCCTGCCAATCACAACATGACCCTCACATCTTCACCTGAAGTGAGGAGGGAAATGACAATACATTAAAGGAATAGTTCACCCAAAAATGAAAACTTCCTGAAATTTTCCTTAGTCCTAAGATGTAGATTATTTGTTTCTTCATGGGAACAGATTTGGAGAATTTTATTATGGATTTGTTTCTTACAAACATGCAAATTTTCTCTTCACAAGACGTAAATTGATGGACTGGAGTTATGTGGATTACTTCTGGATTATCAACTCTTGTCGATTCCCAAGTCAAGGTTGAAGTGTAGGGGTGACCGTGCATTTTCTGTAGTTGCCCCCAGACTTTGGAATGATCTGCCCATTTCGATTAGACTGGCTTCATCTTTGTCTGTTTTTAAATCTAAGTTAAAAACTTTTCTGTTTGATAAAGCATTTAATACTTGAA